TTTGAATTAGTAGATAAAATAATTAATTATTATTATGTATTATTATTATTATTATTATTATATAATTATAGTCCGAACGGTGTGATGTGATAGTTTTGACAGATGTCATTTTTTTAACACTCATTTTTTTGATCATTTCATTAAGCGACTGTTTGAAGAAGGAAAATAGCTTAACGAGATTTTTAGGGTTTTCTTAGATAATTTTTGTTTTCGTGATATATAATTTTACTATGCACCATCTTAGATATCACATGTTCATGAGTGCCCGTAAGATTTATCGGTGTTTTTGTGTGATCGACCACTTAGATAATGAAATGAAAAATTTAACCTAATTTTCCAATATTTCTATAACTAATAAAATTATTTTTTCATATCTAAACAAAAAAAATATCAAAAAATGTGTCCGTTGGTAAAAAATAATACAGATCTCTTTTCACGATTGATTATATCAATATAAAGTACGAAGCTTAGGTTGTTTGTGTGTGTATATTTGTTTGTACTAGATTAATAATAGATAGAATTTTCTTTTCGTTGTTCTGGGGCCTCGGTCGGGTGGACATAGGAATACTTTGTTCGTAGATCTAGAGTTTATTATTGTTCTCGTGGATCCGACGAGGCGGCTCATTAAACAGAAAGTTTATAAAAAAGGAAAAGTTTAAAAAAAAAAGAAATTTGAAAGTTTGGTATATTGATTCTGTATCTTCCAAAAATTAAAAAAATATATTAATAGAAAAAAAAAAAAACGATTGCGTTGAAAGTGCCAAAGCATGTTTCGGAACGTAATGTTTAAAACTAGAAAATGTCGAACGAGAATACGCCCATAGTTCGAAATAAGATTACTATCCGTTAAAATCGATTTGTTTAAATACTAAGTGATACGCGTGAATCGATGGTACGAGATGTCTATTTTTAAATTATATATTATAATTCATGGCCACGAATATGTACGTTGTTAGTGAGAGTGAAAATTATCGGAATCTTATCAATTATCGCTTCGACCAAATAATTGTTTTTCTTTCGACGTTTGTTTCACTTCATTGTAAATATTTGAGTAGCGTGTAGTACAAATAATATCGATGTAAACGATACATTTATATATATATATATATATACATTAAAAGGAACATAGTGAAAATGAAAAATAGTATTTACATATTGAAATGAATTATTCCTGTTGATTCGATTATTTCGAAAAAAAAAAATCGATTTGCCAACGTCGTGCTTTGTTATTGTGAAACTTTGGACCCAATTTTGTTATATCGGCTAAAAAAAATTTTTAATTTAAAAAAATATTGGTCCCTACAATGTAATTCTAAAAACAATTGTATTATTAACATGAAACAATGGTATATAGAAAAGGAAAAAAAGTTTATAATAATAAATTATTGATTCAAAATTAACGGAAACATGTATTATAATAAATTTCAAAAGGCTGCGTGTTGATTTTCATATAAAGGTTGTTTGGTATCGTTGCTTTGTTCAAAGTTTTATAATTGTAATGCATTTCGTGAACAAACGTTTATAGTGACGTGCTTGAAGAGTTTTCGAAAATCGATTTGTTGCATTGTTATTTTAACACATTATGCAAATTTATTAAACATTTAAGAGCTCTATCTGTCGTTGATATAATTATGAACGGATCGATTAAGGAAACATTTCAAGTACACACGGCTCAGTGAATATATTGAAAAATGTACCTATGTATGAATTTTGAATTTATAAAAGAAATTAAAAATGGCTGCTCTGTGCTACCATTTTTGTTTTCTTAAATATCTGAAATTTGGAAGCAATTCTCAGGTATTTTGGAAAATGGTTTAATGATACTCTCGCAACCAAAACAATGCGAGCATAGGAAATTTTGAATTTCCGTTCGCTTAAATTAAATAAATGCTGGAGTAGCCTCGTGGTAATTGTTATAAAGTGCACTTAATATGGAATGTACCAAAAGATTATATAATTTTATAATAAAAGTGTTAGTTGTGTGCGTGTGTCGGCGTTAAATAAATTTTGTATGAAGTTAAACGAATGCCGACCGGAGATATTGGATTGTAATAAATATACCATTTTAACATTATAATTTAGTTTTATTTACTTATTTAATTGCTGAATGAACTTCATTCAGCAATGTTATTAAAAAGCACAGATGTAAAATCCTTCATACAGTGTTGCTTATGAGCTCAAGCCGCAATCTAACACCATGGCAATAACTGACTGACTAAAAAGGAGCAAGTTTAATTACACAGTATAGTAGTCATTCGGGAGGTGCAACCTAGAAAAGGATTTTGGGCTATAAAAACCACATATTCAGCCTTGTTTCAATTAACTTTCCCATTTCTGGACCGTTAATATCAAGTGCCAGGTCTTGACCTTGAAGTTTGAAGCTTGCTTCAGTACACCAAAGAGGACTGCTTAGATTCTTAAAAATCCTGATTTCACTTTGAGTACACAGAAAATTTTTTCATACTATATTTTTCATAGACGGTACTTTGGAGATTGGCTTGAGATAATCCGTTAATTCCGTTTCTCATCAGACGCAACGGGGACATAATTAATACTCACTAACTGCAACCACAGTCCTCATCTAAAGCTATTTCCAAAGACAGAGTTGTTACGTACATATATCCAGTTCTGAATAGTACAAGTACAATAATGACGGTTATGTTACAACAAGTAAAATTAATCGCGAATATTAAAGCTTTAATATATTGTACTTAATATTCCTTGTTTTTTATTTTTAATAAATTAAGAATACAAGCAGGGCCCTGAAACTGAAATACTTTAAGACAAATATTTTTGTCTGCTTAGAAACTAGCGACATCTTGTAGCGGATGCCTCTTAACATATATGTTGTTAATTGTTGTATAACTAAGCACTGAAAATAAAAAAATAATATATCATACAATTACAGTTATCATACAATTTACAATTACACTCGAATTACAGACCTATCGCGATAACTTCCTTGCTTTCCAAGGTGATGGAGCGAATCATAAACATCCAACTTCTTAAGTATCTTGAGGATCGCCAGCTGATCAGTGACCGGCAGTACGGTTTCCGTCATGGTCGCTCAGCTGGCGATCTTCTTGTATACCTCACACATAAATGGGCTGAAGCCTTGGAAAGCAAGGGCGAGGCTCTCGCTGTGAGCCTTGACATCGCGAAGGCCTTCGACAGGGTCTGGCATAGGGCACTTCTATCGAAGCTTCCAGCATACGGGATCCCTGAGGGACTCTGCAAGTGGATCGCTAGCTTTTTGGATGGACGGAGCATCGCAGTTGTCGTCGACGGCTGCTGCTCCGATACCATGACCATCAACGCTGGTGTTCCACAAGGTTCGGTGCTCTCCCCCACGCTTTTCATACTGCATATCAATGACATGCTATCTATTGATGGCATGCATTGCTATGCGGATGACAGCACGGGGGATGCGCGATATATCGGCCATCAGAGTCTCTCTCGAAGCGTTGTACACGAGAGGCGATTAAAACTTGTGTCTGAAGTGGAGAACTCTCTGGGGCGGGTCTCCAAGTGGGGTGAACTGAATTCAGTTCAGTTCAACCCATTGAAGACACAGGTTTGCGCGTTCACTGCGAAGAAGGACCCTTTTGTCATGGCGCCGGAATTTCAAGGAGTATCCCTGCAGCTTTCCGCGAGTATCGGGATTCTGGGGGTCGATATTTCGAGCGATGTCCAGTTTCGGAGTCATTTGGAAGGTAAAGCCAAATTGGCCTCTAAAATGTTGGGAGTTCTCAACAGAGCGAAGCGGTATTTCACGCCTGGACAGAGACTTGCGCTTTATAAAGCGCAGGTCCGACCTCGCGTGGAGTACTGCTCTCACCTCTGGGCCGGGGCTCCCAAATACCAGCTACTTCCATTTGACTCCATACAGAAACGGGCTGTTCGGATGGTCGATAGTCCTGCTCTCGCGGATCGCTTGGAACCTCTGGGTCTACGGAGGGACTTCGGTTCTCTCTGTGTTTTATACCGCATGGTCCATGGGGAATGCTCTGAGGAATTATTCGAGATGATTCCCTCATCTCCTTTTTATCATCGCACCTCCCGCCATCGGAGCAGAGTTCATCCATATTATCTGGAACCGCTGCGTTCATCGACAGTGCGTTTCCAAAGATCTTTTTTGCCACGTACCATCCGGCTTTGGAATGAACTCCCCTCCACGGTGTTTTCCGAGCGCTATGACATGTCCTTCTTCAAACGAGGCTTGCGGAGAGTTCTTTATGGTAGGCAGCGGCTTGGCTCTGCCCCTGGCATTGCTGACGTCCATGAGCGACGGTGACCACTTACCATCAGGTGGGCCGTATGCTCGTCTGCCTACAAAGGCAATAAAAAAAAAAAAAAAAAAATACAAGTCTTCATTTGTTGTAGACAAATTCATTAAATTTTATTAGTTCGCGATTTCTGAAAATTTACAAAATCCTTCATTAAAGGTAAATTAAAGGATAGATAATATATTACTGCCATCAACAGGAAAATGGGAAACTAATCAAAGCGAAGCCATCTAGTGGCCGACGCCCGTAAACATTTTATTGAGTGCTTGAGTTGCTTAACTATAATTAATTTATGTGTATTATCAATGAATGCAAACAAACTAAAACTACGGGTATCTTACTAAACTAAACTAAAACATAGTGAATATTCAATAAAAAAAAAGTCCACATATGTAGCCTTTTAGCGTACAGTTAAATATATAAATAATAATAAATAAATAAAACGTACATATTATTATGTGCTAACGTTCCTGAAGAGGTACCTAATAAATAATATGTATGTTACGTACATTACTACCAAAGTTAACTACTTATAACGAGCTTATGACCCACCTCGTTTTTAACTGACTAATTAACCGAGCACTTAATACTATTCATACATGTAAGTATATTAGAGATAGTAGTATTTTAGTAATTTATTTTTTAAGCTACACATGAGGGAGAGTAGAAGTTTTCATAGCTGAAATCTGGTAACTCTGAAATGGCACTGTGGCAAACGTCAAACGATGTCGAGTTTTGTGTTAGAAAATAATTAATTTCAAGACTTTTGTGTCAATAATTATGTGAATAATGAGATGAAAGTGTAAATAAATGTCATATTAGTGTTGTATAGTGATTATGGCGCATAGTGGTGGAGTTTTGAGCTCAGATATATCTCGTAGAAATCCCCAAGATGAGTATGAATTGGTGCAGAGGATCGGTTCTGGAACCTATGGCGATGTATACAAGGTAGGGGGCCTGCTGAAAGCTCTATTTATACCACTATACCTCGAATCATATCACACGAAACCCAATACCGCGGTATTACAAATGGAAATAAAAGTAAAAAATGCACCCAATATATTTTGCTTGAATGAACCCAATTTAATTCTTAATTTTTCCCCTTAATTGCTCATTTCAAAATTCATAGTTTTAAAGTAATTATCGAGTTACCTAAATGTAGTAGATTTTTTTGTCTACTGCTAAACTCAAGGTCAGAGTTTGGCATGGGTTTTAGATCACACCCACTGCATTTAATCCTTCTGAATTTATCAGTATTTTTATCTACATCTTGATAGGTATTTAGAAAGATCACAATTACGCATGCATTATGATATTATGCATAGTTACCAAACAATAAAAACAATTTGTTGAAAGAAACATTATATTCCTTTGTTGTCCTAAGCACAGGATTAAGAACAGAGATAAAAAACGTCCTTGGATTAAGTTCGAAATTAATCAACTGTGGTAGATACATGATATTTGGGGCAATTGCAGTGCAAACTTTTCTCACAAACCAAATAACTGGGAACATTAAAAAACCTGTAAATTGAGACAAAATTTCAGTAATTGTTGGAACAAGATTATTATTATAATACTGACATGATCATAGCCAACTAGATAGCTGAATTACAATACAATTGTCTCAAAGAGGATGGAGTGTCCAAACCTTTCCTTCCTTTAGAATTACTTTTTTAATAATATTGTTAGTTTTGCTTAAACGGACCAAAGTTCAAACTAACATCTCTTGTGAGTTCTTAACACTGTAAGAAAAGTTTTTCATAATAACCACTATTGTTATAATAATAATAAAAATAATAAAAACATTTATTTCAGAAAAAAATCCATAAAATAATAATAATACAATAGTCAGCACACAAACATGATATGTTTGTGTGCTGACATTTTTTAACATAATTTTTAATTTTATTTTTGAACAGACATGTGTAAGTTTTCTACCTTTTGTGCATATTATATTTACCCCATGTAGAGGGATAAATATAATAACAATATCACGACCATCCCCTTTGCAGACTTTTGGAATTATATAAACAAACATTTGACAGACGTTGATTTATTGCATACTCACAATTTAGATTTAAGGAATTAGTTATTAGTAGACTTAATTGATGCCTACTGAGTTTCTCACTGGATCTTCTCAGTGTGTCTAGATTGGAATCCATAGTAGATTCTGTGAAATACTGCTAGTGCTAAGGTTAGTGTTAGTAAATTCTCTCAGCTTGAGCCTGTGAGCTCCCCCACCTGTCCGCTGTAGCTAGAATAGCCACCTCGGTTACCAGCAAACAAGTAGGGAAAACAACGTGGAATTACGTGGTATCTCATTTTATCACTGTATTTAAAGGTCCTTCAAATAAAAATAGTAACCTATGCTTTCTCAAGTAAATCAAACATGTTCACAATCACTCATAATACTTCTTTATTTTTAACATAATATATTTTCTCTTTTTCATATGTTTTATTGATATAATAAACTTTTTTCTTTCATTACCTAGTGCTCACCTAACTATTTTGTTATAAGTCCTGTGTTGTTGTGAAATTTGAGAATTTACACACGCTCAGAACCATTTATTACTCATCAATGTTGTTCTTGTTTTTCCTTTTGGTAGGTTAAACATTTATGTACCTAAGCTTAGAATACATAGTGATTGTAATTAATACTTGTGATTTGGCTCAACACTATGATACCATGGTTATAAAAAGCCTTTGGTTACATTGAACTTACACCCCAATATGCACACATTCTGTAAAGACCAAAACATACAAAGAAAACTAAGCAATTATCTCACACATAAGAATATATGTTTTTTTAATCAATGTTGATGTTGTCTGACTGTATAAAAACACAATAGTTGTCCATAAAATTGCATCATTTGAAGAATTCAATCTAAGTGCCATCAGCGCTACATATGTGACTATATAGTTTTAACAAATGTATGTTTATCATATTGCGCTAAAATATAACTTATTCCTGTGTTCAATAGAACATTTGAAAAATAGGTCTGTAAATTGATGTTATCTAATTGTGTTTGTTTTGTGAAAGGATGTGAAGGATAACAGGATGCTGCGACAAACCGAAATTGTAATCGAGAGATGATAAGCTATTTATTAATGAACTACATCAAGTGAAATTCTTGAGATGAGTAAATATGTACCTGTAACAATGATAATAATGATAAGGAGCAAATGAACTAGCAGTTCAGATGGGAACGTTATATAAATCTAAGATACATTATATAGAGATTAAACACTCAAATAAAAAGCAAAGATACCTGTTTGTCAAAGTAATATTGGCCGGAAACATTAATCGAATCACAACCCTCCCAGTAGCTTATGAATCAAACATACTTACTTCCACTATAATATGGTCTTTGTGGTCAATTAGTTAGAATCATTAACCATTGGACCGCTGAGACAGTCGTTTAAACTCAGAGGTTTCTGGTTATACTATGAAGATAGTTCACGTTAAATGGGCCTCTGCTTAACCAATGAGGCAGGTCAGTTATAGCAAAGAACTTTTTCTTCCTACCTAAGCTGATGGTTTAGAGAGACCATGTCAACGTCACCGGGCTAGTAGGTAAGCTCACGGGGTTCAAACCTGACGATGTTGCTAACACGAATCCTAGCAAGAGCCGTGCTTCGCAGAATCTATTACCGGAGGATCGGAAACGCGACCCACTGAGAATATCCGGTGAGAAACTCAGTGGGCTGTGTCTGTGGGTTAATTTACTCGCCGAGCCCTTCGTCGCAAGCGACGGGTTCGACGAGGACGATGACCGGGCTTGGGGTACTTAAAAGCACCGTTAGTGGATCGGGAGGATCCGAGATGACGTGTTTCGGGCGACGTGGACTGTTTACCATTTACTATACGATGAGAGGGTTCTCATGACGTGCCGGTTTGTGAAGATGGCGCAAGCAAAGGACTAAAATCTTTTTTTTGCATAGAAATACGAAATTCAACAGTTCAAACAAGGTCGCCGACACCTGTCATTGGCATTGACGGTGCGGGAATCGAACCGAAACGCGGTTTGCGTGACTCACGCCGCCACTGAGTCACTGGGCCCTGCACGGTTTCGCTCTAAAAACAAGCTACATCATTATATGATCTAATCGTTGGTTTAAAGTCTCGTGTTGATGATAACGTAGATTTACGACAAAGGGAAAATCTTACACCGAGCGGGTGATTTTGCTCGGTAGACCAACGGTCCGAACGTTGTTGTTCGGAACTTGTATATATGCAAAAACATCTTGAAAATGTCGTAAGCGAGATTCAGGCATCTGTCAAATATCTTGTGTAAATAAATTAAACAAATAGATAAAGCATCTTTGGAGCGGATACTCGAAGAAAAAAGTTTTGAATCATTGCGAAAATTACGGCCGTACAGTAAGAAAATTATCAATATAATTCACGGACATCCGCAAATCTCATAGACTTATCGTTATGTCTAACCGAACCTACATGTCCAATAGTGGTTCCCTACCACCGCTGTGCCCCCACCCTACACCATAGTAAAGCATCTTCTAATCCCATCCATCCAATCCAATCCCATCCCAAAAACGAGATGGTTTTTACCATCACACTGCTCGTCACCGGAGCAGAGTTCATCCATACTAGCTAGAAGCACTGTGTTTATCCACAGTACGTCTCCAAAGTTTCTTTTACCACATACTGTCCGATTTAATTGAAATTCGTTCCTCGGTTTTTCCTGAGGACATGTCTTTCTTCAAACGTGCTTTTTTTATTGCCCTTTTAGGCTGACGAGCATACAGCCCACCTGATGGTGAGTGGTTACCGTCGCCCATAGACTTCAGCAATGCCAGGGCCAGAGCCAAGTAGGTACTCAAGGGCACTTATTGTAATGGTAATGGTCCCTAAATTTGTGGGGAGTATTCAATGGTAGGCAGCGGTCTGGTTGTATCCCTGGCGTTGCTGTCGATCATGAGCGACGATAACCACTCACCATCAGGGAGGCGCATGTTTCGTAGGTCGTCTGCCTAATAAGGCAATAATAAAAATTCCAGCAATGGATATGCCATTTGAAGGGTATCGCAGCTAACGACGGCTCGGTTTCACTAATACTTAAATAAGAATATGATCCGTGGATTTATTGTGACGTCACATGTGTGTACTCTACGCGAAATATAAAGACGCATGTACAATGAAAATTCCATTTGACAAAATATTATAGTGCATATAAGTAATGAGCAAAAAGATGAGCTATCATCGTGAGACGCATCACATCTACTTTCTCAATTACATGATGACCAGGACCACTCGGTCGAGAGTGAAAATAAATAAGAGGAAAAAAGAGCGAACAATATTACATACAAACGTTCATACGTAATGTTTTTTTCAATATACGCTACCGCACAACCCTACTCCGGGTTGTTCAGTGAAAAAGCAAGTTGGTATATATTTACGAACAAATTAACGCCTGCTTAGAACGATACGTTTGTACAATACTTTAACGTTATTCTCACAATTAATATACGTTAAAAGGTTGTTAGGGTTGGCACTGTGCAGTTTTAATTTAATTCGCAAAGCGGTCCTGTGTTTCCGCTCTAGCGTTAGGGTTGTCGCTGTTTTATGCTATATTTTTTTATTCATGTGAGCTTTGTGGTTAAGTCGAAAGTTAGCCTTGTTCTAAATGTGTACTAATTAAATAATAGTTTAAAAAAACTAACAAAATACGCTTTTATAGAAAATTCCACTAAAAAATCAAAATAACCCTTCTCCTCATATCTGTTCATAAAATATTTATAACTACTGATACCATGCACCCCACGCTCTTTTTACAATAAAATCATTTTTTCTTACACTATTTTTAATTCAAATTTATTTTAATTTATTTTCTATTTTTTAGTTGGATTTTCTATAAAAGCGTACTTTGTTAGTTTTTTTAAACTATTATTTAATTTTCATTTTTTAGTTGAATTTCAATTTTTTCTAT